TCTCTCTCTCTCTCTCTCTCTCTCTCTCTCTCTCTCTCTCTCTCTCTCTCTCTCGGGGTGAAAGTTCTTGTACTCTTGGGAGGCTAGTCTGACCTTGAGTCTTCTGTTCAACACCAAGTCATGTGATTACAAGCCTGTGTCTCACAGCGAGGCCAAGGCAATCCCAGCCCGGTCACCACCGTGCTCTTCCTCCCGTGCCTGTATCTGATGCCTGTGCTGCACGTACAGCGCAGTCCTCCACGTACAGTGGAGTCCTTCCTCTCCCTGAAGACAACCCCTGTGCTTCTCTGTGGGCTTCGGGGAGAAGAGGCTGGAGGGCTTGAAGGGACCCAGTACCCCGTGTTTCTCAGGGGAGACCTGTGGAGCTGGCTTCTATGGCAGATGCCTTAGATGTACCAGTGCTTGTAAGGAGCAGTGGTCTCATTCATTCATTCATTCATTCATTCATTCATTCATTCATTCATTAGTTTATCAGTCCAACAAGCCGCCCTGATCCTGTACTCCAGGCTGGACATGGTTTTCGGATCTGGTCTGCGGTAACTAAAATAAAGGCCTTGCCTTCACAGAGCTTCCCTCTAGTGGGGGAAGACACACAATCAACACAGAACCCAAGAACTTTAAGGCTAAAATCAGGTGAGATAAAACTGTGTCGTAGTATGAAATGTGTCCCACAGGCTCATATGTCCAAATGCTTGGTCCCCAGCTGAGTCTCAGAACCTTTAGGAAATGGAGCCTCATGGGAGGAAGGGAGTCACTGGGGGCGGGCCTGGAGATTTTACAGCCTGGTCCCTCTCTCTGATCCCCTTCTGCTTCCTGCCTGTGGGTGCAGGGTGACCAGCTGCCTCCACGGTTGCTATCATGCCTTCCTCAGCACAGTGGACTGTGTCACCTTGAACTGTGACCCCAACAAGCCCACCCTCCCTCACGCTTGCTTTCTGTCAGTTATTCGGTCACAACAGGAAAAAACACTAGAGCCCCATGAACAGTGGGTAGAGCTGGGTGAAAGCTTTGAGCAGAGATGCTGGTGTGAGATGCTGGAACAACTGTTTATACACCTGTACCTCACCTGGCCTCCCCACCTGTGTGAAAACAGGAAAGTGGAGCTTCTGGTATTTTTAACACTATTTGAAAAGCACAGAAAGAGGACTTTGTTTCCAGATTGATCGCAAACTTCTAGAGGTCCAATAAGACATTTACATGGTCCCTTCTGGGGCTCAGAGAACACTGCAGGAAGCTGGAAGGCAGGGAGAATGTCCGCAAAAATCTCCACTTCTGAGCAAGACACAGCCGTGGCAACCCCGAGCTCTCAGCAGCTGCCCGTGCCCGCACTCAGTGGTCAGGTGCAGATGGAGGAGGGCTCGGGTCCTACCCCCCACTGCCGAACTGTTCTAATAGAATCAGGGAGCAATCACCACCTTCATCCATCGAGGACCCCATCAGACCCACTGACACTTCCAATCCAACAGCCACAAAGATGCTTAACTAAATAGGTTACAAAACCCAAAGTCGTGAGCCTGGGAAGGGACGGGAAGGGCTGTGATGGTGTGGGGTGGGGGATAGGGAGAGGACAGAAATAAGAGAGGGCGTGGCGGAGGTAGTAATTAGAATATACTGTGTACATGTATGAAATTGTCAAATAACAAAATTAACCAGTACAAAATTATCATAATTTTTCCTAGAGGTTTGTTCTACCCAATCTGTGCCAGCCACTTGCCTTTAAGCTCTTCTCAAGAAGCTGGGGAAAGCACCTCCCCCCAACATGGCAGCTCACAGCCATCTGTGACTCTGGTCCTTCCTGGATCTGATGCCCTCCTCTGGCCTCTGTGGGAACTGCACACACGGGTGCACAGGTGGACGTGCAAGTGAAACCTTCAATACACATAAAAGAAAAATAAAAGAAAAATTTTTAAAGAAGATGGAAAAGAGTAGTGATTCTATGTCTGCTCATATGTGTTGATTTCTTTACAGCACAGACAACCGTTAGCCCATGGCTGAGGCTAGCAATGCTAAAGCTACTATGTGTTTAGAGGCAGCTGCTGGCTGCCGTGGCTGCCACTGTTCCCCCAGGGTCAACGGGAAGCTTCTTCCTAGGAATGCTGGGTGAAATGTCTCACACAAGGAGAAACTGGTCCAATCCCAGTGCACTCAGGTCTTGCTGCCTTTGGCTTGCATATAGAGGAGCTCAGTGACTTGGTCTCCACTTTCCAGACCACAGTGCGAGGAATGAAGGCTTCTTAGGGGCAGGCAGTGGGTGGCACAGGTGTCTCTGCTCCCGGGGACCTAAGCCGCAAAAACTCAGAGCATCTCAGAAACTGTCAAATCCTAGCTCCACATTTTACTGAGGATACCAAGATTAGGAAGGGTTAGAACTTACGGGAGGTCATTCTTCTGTTCTCGTTCCACCAGGAGGTTTTGGTTTGTATTCTGGAAACTTCCATACAGCAGACATTCAAGCCCATGTTCATATGTAGGGCAGGAACCAAGGACTGAAGTACTGAGAAGCTTGGTCTTCGGCTATACTCCAGGTGAAAGTTAAAAGTTATTCACATACGTGCGTGCACACACATACACACACACAGGCAAACACACCTACACACACACACACATACATACAGGTAAGCACACCTACATACACACACACACAGGCAAACACATCTACACACGCGCGCGTGCACACACATGCACACACACACACGCAAACACACCTGCACACAAATGCAGACACACATACACACAGACAAACACATCTACACACATGCACACACACATACATACAGGCAAGCACACCTACACACACACACACACACACACACACACACACACACACACACACTTTGAGTGAGATAGTATGAGTTATTATCAGTGGGGGTACATGCCGTGATGTACATGCAGAGGTAAAAAGATGACTCTGGAACTGGCTCTCTCCTTTTACCTTTAGTTTTTTTTAGTTTTTCTCAGCGAGCCATGTACCTGGCCGTGAATATCTGTGTGTGGAAACAGACTTTGGTGGGAGTGGCATGGAGAAACAGTAAGGAGTCTCTTCGCTCAGTTCCTTTTAGAATGTGGGAGTAAACTCATTATCTGATGTTCTGGTTTCCCTCGTGTGTCAGCATTTCCTCCCGTGTGTGCTTAGACACGCGAGCCCGAGCCGTTCTACACGCCTGGGAAAATGTTCACACGTACACACAACAGGGTGGGGCGCGGGAGGGGCAGGGAGAGACAGAGAAACAGCTACACACTAACCTAGTGGACAATAACAAAAGCTTCCACCTCCAGAGTCAAGAAAGCAGAACTCAGAACTCCCTGACACCAAATGCCTCAGGTGCCCGCAATGAGTCGCTGCCACCGGCTCACAGGGGAATCTGGGTCTTTCTCAGTTTTTGTTTTAAACATGTCAAAACAAGGAGTGAAATGATGGGCTAAGCCTCAGGTGGTGGTACATAGGGGTAATCCTAGAACTTGGGTGGCAAGTTCAAGGCTAGCCTGGTCTACGTGTCTAGTTCCAGGCCAGTCAGGACTATATGGTGAAATACATATACATACATATATACACGCATACAAACACACACATACATAAGCATGTGCTTGCATACACACGTGAATCACAGCTTCCTCCCTTAAAGCAATCTTTAAAACAAACAAAATCTGGGAGTTTTCAGGGCTCCTGGAGCGTCTTCCTCCTTGGATTTGCTCACTTTGG